GTGCGTGTCTTTGCTTGAGTGGGAGTATTACCAGGGACATAATAATGCAGTGGGGAGCCTCCGTGACGACTGTGTGCAGGTGAGTCGGTATAGGGGGAGCTGGAGGAACGTCTTGTTCTTAACTCCATGCCATCCAAGAGATCCTGAAAGGAAAGGCTGCTTTAGAGGCTGTCTGAGTAATGTGCTTTAATTTACTAAAGGCAGTAAAGTAGACCACAAGGTTACTTCCACAACACAGTTTTAATCATGCTGACAGCAGTTTATTAACCTACATGGTGCGTATGCTGCTAGCAGTCCTAGTGCACAAACATGTGCAGATGTAGTCTAAACACAGACAGTGAAGACTATCACGGTGCTGTTACAATGATGGCACAAATTAAAGAAATACTTGGATGCTTACTTTCCTTCATGCCAAGACTGAAACAATAATATTAGCATATAAATAGATGCGCATTAAATATGAAAGTGGTTAGGTTAGCGTAGCATGTAGACTGGAATCAGAGGAAGCATGCAGCCTGATGGGAACAAAATCCACCTACCAGCACTTCTAAAGTTTACTAATTAAGATGGTATATCTCAAGGGTACAAAATTATGTCCCAAAATATCAAACTATGTCTTTTTGTATTCAAATGTTGCCGGTGTTTGATATCACTCAACTTTACTGTTTTGAGTTCTAAAATTAAAACCGGTTACATCTATTTTCTTTTGTATTTAATACTTTAGAGTAAGGATTACCTTCTCAACCATTACACAAAGAGGTGGGGGAGTACTTACATGAGAGTATGGTGATAAGGAGCCCAATGACTGGATATGAGGAGAAATAAAAGATATTTGTTACTGTTCATTATTCTTAATACCTTATGGTCAATTTATTTTTACCGGAAGAAATTCAAATAGTGAGTTTGTGCGTGTGTGACTACCTGCCTACGGTTGCATCTCTCCAAAGTGTCATCTGAGAGGTGGGTCTGTGCATGGTCGGCCTGATAAGGAATAATGTCGGGCCGCTGAATGTCATATATGGCTTTAACCCTGGGAAGTGCTGCCACCTGCTTATATTCCAAAACATCCCCATCACCCTTAGCCTGTTAGAGAGAGACAGGTAGACAGGGATACACATTAAATGAAGACCAAACCATAAGTAGAAGACTGGCTGTAAACAGCCAATCTCGATCACCAACAGAAGAGGCACCCAAATTCTTGCATAGAAAATCACACATATGGTAGCATACAGGAAGGGAAATGAGGCAATGGTAAACATTCAGGTGAGCAGGTTAAACTGAAATCTTTGATGGGCCAGTAAAAATTTAAACATGACATTAAACGATCTAAGAGCTAAAAAGTGTGCACTGTAAGACAATAACTCTGGATAGGAAACTAAAGGGCTTAAGATAAAAGCCTGCTTATTATAAAAGGCATATTAAGGCTTTAGTAGTCTAGCACTTTGCTTTTAGTAGGCATTCAGTAAGGCAGGGAGAGGCAACAGACAGACAAGAAGTCTGCTGAGAGACTGATAGCACAGACCGCCTGAGCTTTAAGGGTCTCTTTTGTGCTTCTGTCTATGCTGGTTATGTTTGAGTGACAGATGTGACTGTGACAGCTGAGGGCGCAACCATGGCGTAGCCATGGTGACAGTTACTCACACAGATGAGCCGGTGAGGAGAGCCAAGCAGAGGAGAGGAGCCTGGAGGAGAAATGGATGCTGTCTCGGAGGTACGTCTCAGCTGGTGGGACAAATGTCAGTGAGAGCAAGAAGGTGAATAAAGTTAGCTTAAATACAACAGTGAGCGCAGAAAAGTACTTTAATTTAATGCATTACTCAAAAAAGTGAACCTGGAGCAGTAACTCAAATAATCACTCGTTACAGCCAAGGTATCCAGAAGATCATCTCTGAAAGCACATCACCTCAAACCTTGAGTTGGTTACCCAGTACCACCAGTACCTCCAGTACCACAGGAAACTGAGGCTATAATTTACATTGGCTCACCAAAACTGGGCGGCAGACAATTGGAAAACGGTCACCTGGTAATAAGCCTTGAATTCTGCTCAAACATTTGAACGGCAGGGTGAGAATTTGGTGTAAACAACATGAAAGCCTGGATCCATCCTGCCTTGTATCAACACTTAAAGTGGTATAATGATGGTGGTATGATGGTCTATGGGGGATATTTTCTTGGCACACTCCGGACTCCATCTAAATGGAGCTAAAACCACCCCAAAAAGGGTTTCTGGAACATTACAATGAGTCCACATGGCCTCCACAGTCACCAGATCAACATCCAATAGATGTGGTAGAACAGGAGATTCACAGCATGCAGGTGCAGCTGCAAAATCATGCATCAACCGTGTGATATTAAATGTCAATATAGACCAAATTTAAAATAAATAAGTAAACTAAAATACGTTATCTAGCCTCTCACTTAAAAAACTGTGTTTTGTTAATGCTGCTTTTTTGTTTGTAATATAAAGCAAGTGGATGGAGCTTCTCTGCTCACAGCCAGAACTGTGTAATATCATAGATATCAAATCTGTTTGACTTCATACAAAGACTTAAAAAGGCGGATACCTGACTTTTTCTTCAGTATTAATCTTTCAGGATAGAGAACCACTTTGTACTGAATATTATAGCTGCAAACTAACACTGTACCTGTTATGTTTTTACTGTGACAGCATTATTAAGCCAACTCTTAATCATGTAAGTGTTCTTGTAAATGTTCCTCTATTTGCTGGAATAGCTGAATCTCACTTTTTTTCTTGACGTGTTCACTTCCTGGTTGAGCTGAGCAATCATTTGACAACAAATGTTAATTTCCTGCTTTTAACATTCATATGGTGTGTGTATGTGATTTGTAAAGTTACAACTTCCTTTTCTGCCATGGTGTGATGATTATTATTTGCATGTTCATGATAACACCAGGCTCTGGCAAGAGCTGTCAAAGTGCAGGTCTGCAGCTCTACTTTCGATGAAATGCTTTGAAAAAATACAATAAGACTTTATGCTGTGTTTGGACAATTTCTGTTAAATAAAGCTACAACAATAGTATGAACAATCTGGTGACGAACTATATATTACAATGAAATCTTTTATAAATGAACAGCAAAATAAAGTCTATTCAAATTTTTATATATAAAACTAAATTCGCTGAGGGCAGATTTGAGCACATTTCTTACAATGCTAAGAGCGACATACCTGCTTTTAAAACAACAGTGAGACATTTCAGACACAGCATGAAAGAGAGAACCACTGAGAGGACAAAAACAGAAACAGAGAGGAAGAGCAGGGGCTTGCAGGTATTTTGAGTAACACTCACCCTCAGTTTCCTCTCCAGCCGAGCTGCTTCTTTACACATGGGGTGCCAAACCTCTGAACCTGCACATACACACATGCGATTTTATCTCAGTTTACTTTGTTTATTGCGTGTGGGCAGCAGCCATACAGTTTTATGGGATCCTATGAAGAGCAGATCAGCTTTTCTCAAGTGCATCAACATCAATCAAAGGCACACACACACACACACACGAGACACTGTGTATGTGTGTGTGTGTGTGTGTGTGTGTG